TCAGAAAGACAAAGACAAAAGAGCTATTTGGCAGGAAGAAAACAGCTCTCTCCATCTACATCAGCCCTGAAAAACTCAGCTCAGCTCACCCCTGCTTAAAAATGAAAACAAATAAATGTAAATAATCACAAAATGGTTCACATATATGTATGGAAATGAAATAGAGATACCTTTTTCTGGTTTTCATTCAAGGAAGAAGTAGGAGCATCCTCCTATATTTAGCTATTGGAGGTAAGGGAACTGCCCATCCTATTTTATGCAGGAGTGTCTATTTTTAGGGCCTTTTTTTTTTAAACCAGTGGTGCTAAATATGGGTTCAAGCTGCCACCTGGAGGATTCCAGATGTGTTGGCAGCTATTTTCATCACAATCTGTTGTTCAACAGCTTGACTGATGGAGGGAAAGTAATTGGGAGAGCGAGTGAGAACACATTCATGTTTTCTGAAAATCTTGTTGATATGTCACTTTATTAACAAGAAACTGATTTATGAAGATAGTAAGTATATATTTTTGTGTTACGGCATTGTCAGGTTCATCTAGTTTTCTAGGAATCTCTCATTACTCATGAAAGTGAACTTAAGAATTGTCCTTTCTGGAAAAATGATACTGGAGACTTACAGCGTTTCTCTACTACATGGTTTATATTACATATTCAAGTGGGGCACAGATGGAGACAAATAAGTAACTGTTCATTGCCCATCATTATATTCCTTAAAGGGCACTTCAAGTTGCCTTCCAAACTACAGTTAAATCTTTTATGTTTCTTTCTGCCTCTGTTCAAGAACTCATATACACACAGCTGGCCTTGAAAAATGTCTGGACATTTAAGTCAATACAAAATGCAATATCTAGAAAAGACGTTAGCCCCATATCATACAAAATTTATATTTTTATAAAGGTAATTTCTGATTTTATGTTTTATGCTGCTGCTTTGGTTTTTGTATCTTGATGCCTCAGTTTTTCACTGTTTTAAAGGAGGCATGTTGGCTAGGAAGACTTCAAGGAATGGCTGCAGATTTGCCATACAATTTTTTCAAAAAATAGGCAATAGGCAACAAAAAAAAATTAATGTGTATACCCCCCCCCCCCCAATAAGAACTCTGGTTTCTCCCC